TCACATTTTATATGCTGTGATGACATTCAGTGAATGAAAGTAAAACAATCTCTGGAATATAATTTGGATCAAGAAATAAAGAAAAATGGTGAATTAGAGAGAGAGAGAACTGGATTTAAGAAACTCTTGAAAGTCATAAGAAAGAAGTTAAATGCATATGGAGATGGAGAAATTAGTCTTCAAGGAGATTTAAAAGCCAGTTCATTTGGGCCAGCAGGTGGTGCAATGGTTGAGGTGCTGGACTCTCATGTGGCTGACCATAGTTCAAGTCCTGAACTCAGTGGCTTGAAACTCATGCCAGGTGTGTGAGTGTTGTTTGGCCAAAATCCTGAGAGGACAATGGAGTAGACTGATTAGTAGGATGGCCACCCTCCCCAGGGAGTTAGTTCTTGCTTTCTGTCTCTCTTTCCATTTCTCTGTGTCTCTGGTGAGTACACAAGCTCTAGTGCTCTATAGCAAAATAAATAAATTTAAAAAATAAAAAATAATACATTAAAAATAAATAAATAAATAAAATGCTGAAAGGTTTTATAAAAACTACAAATAACTTGTACATGTGATTCATTGGAAAATATATTTCTGAAAAGATCCAACGGAAACATATGACTGTGATGTACAATCAGAAAGAAAATGGGATGACCAAGAGAAAGAGGTGGGAGAAGATTCATTTCTACATTTTTACTGTGTACAATTTAACTTTGAAATTATGCAAAAGGTTGTATTTCTGTTTAACATTTTAATTAGAATCCTCATAGACAGGGGCAGCTATCCTATCTTTCACGTAACATTTCTCTCCTTTTTCTCAGAGGAAAGAACAAAATTGTTCACCTGTCTCCCCTCAGCTGGTTGTTCCACCGATGGACTTATCTGCTCTGTGCACATTCCATACCAATCCTGCTTTCACGATCGTTAAAAAAATAAATAAATAAAATAAAAACTAAAAGGGTAAATATTTACCTATTTAACACACAGTACATTTAGAATGAAAAAGATGGTATTTTCTAGGACCTCTTAGCTAAAAAGTCATTCTTGGTTGTAGAAAGGGTAAGTGACCCAGTCCTGCTGAGGTCTGCAGAGATTCCAGGAATTGACCCCACCTGGGAACAGAAAGGCTATCTCCTCAAAGATGAAGTACATGGAGCAAACAAATATTCCCGACTTGCCGACAATAGTGAATTTCCAACCTGCCAGTCCTGTCATCTATATACCTGGTATTTACTAGACAATGTATTCCCAATTTGTGCAGAAAGTACAGTTAATGTTAAAATCATTAAGAGTAGGAGCCAACAAGTGATGTGGTGGTAAAGGGCACTGGAATCCGACATGGCTGACCAGGGTTCAAATCCCAGACCTGGAGGCTTGCTTTCTCACTTTCTTCTCTCTCTCTCTCTTTCTCTCTCTCTCTCTCTCTCTCTTTCTCTCTCTCTCTCTCTTTCCTCTTTCCTCTCACTCACTCTGTCCTTCTCTGGTCAAAATTTAAAGTAAATAAGTAAATAAAGTTAAATAAAATACTTTAAAAAATTACTAAAAGCCTACCTCTGCAGGAAGGAACCAGGGTGAGCTAAGAAGCACAAAAGTTGGTTCACTGTTAATAAATTGAAGTAACAGGGACATGAATTGAAGGCTTTGGGCTAATAATCTGAGAAAGTTTCAAGTTGCCTCAGAGGCACACACCAATTTTGCTGCCACTGAGTCCTTCAAGGAAATTCAGTTTTTTCCCACCTGCTAGAGCTCTCCATGGAATCCCTCCACCCCCACAAGCACAGTTTCTCTGCCCCTCACCTGCCACAGAACGTCTGTTGTCCTACATTCTACCTGTATAAATTCAAATCTTGCCCTGCCCCACATGGACTACTGAGCATCTGCCATAGGCAGATCACACTCTGGGTTCTGTGCCTGTCGACAGTCGTGGCCACAGAGTGCAATGATGGTCTCTGTAGGAGGTAAGTCAGTGGGATATGGAACTTGTTTTCAATCTCCCTACCGTCCCCACAAGACCTTGGGAATTTAAACTTGACTCTTCTCTGAGTAACAGCTGATCAGACTGAGTAGAGGAAAGAGAGGGGACTGGACACACCAATGGCATTGTCCTGGTGAGACCTGGCTGATGGCCACCTCAGGATGCAGATGGGGAAGAGGGCTCCTTAGAGTTTGGTTAGTCACTCAAAGGAAATAAATTGGATGAAGAGTAGAATGGGATCGGAGATGTTGAGCTTCCTAGAAGGGAAAACGTCACGCAAACGTGGGTCTGTAGGTGGTGGTGGGGATATGTATGGTAGAGCACAGGGAGGTTTGAGAAATGTTCTTTAGGAGGTTGGGTCTTAGTCTTTAAGAGTTCTGAGAGACTTCTGAGAGACTTCAATAACCTTGATCCCAGGGGACTGATGGGAACAACTGGTCTGAGTTGAACACTGCTGAGTAGGTTTAGCTATGACTGCATCCACAGTGAAATACCTTCCATGGAAGTGAGGCTGGAAGTGCTCTAACTTCCACCACCCAGAGATGCTCAGCTGTTTCTTTCCCCTGGTGGCTCCTCTTCCTGTATAGGAGCTGCTGTCCTTAACTGAACAAGGCAGGGAAGCCTTCTACTTTAACCACAATGGGGCTTGGCTTTCCTTAAGGTGTCCTGAATTGTTTCCCTTTTGTGGAAATGTGGGTCTTCAGAACCTATTGATCTTGCCCAGTATTTCATATACAGCCTCACCCCTCATTTTACTGTGCAAGTGAGGCATTTACTCACATGCATCTTTAGTGTGTCATAAGCAGGGACAGATATGGAGTGCTATTGAGTCTCTAGTAGAAGGGTTGTTGAAGGTTAGTTTCCAGTACAAGAGAAGAAGGACAGTGGCATCCAATGAAAAGATGATCTTGTATTATTTGTATTCCAAGCAGGACAGGTGTCCTGAAGGATTACTTGCATGTCTGTGTAGTGTTCCGCCATGCCTCAGATTTTCCTGAGGCCCTAGTGAGCCAGGGTGCTTCCATACAACTGTCCCACTTTAAGCTTGGCTCACTCCTAGTTGCTTCTGGGTCTTTACATTATACTGTTAGGAGGTCCCATGAGAGGACCCATCAATTTCCCACAAAGAAGGCTACTGTGATCAGCCTTTTCTGCTCCTCCATGTACCTCTTTCCTTTTCTCCACAGCATCTTCAGTTCTGGGACAGAATAAGACCCTGAACTCTCGCTCTTCCACATCTTTCTTGGGACTGCTTTTTTCCCAGCTCCGCTCTTCCACATCTTCTTTCTTGGGACTGGTTTTTTCCCAGCTCACTATTTTTTTTTTTTTTGGAGAGGTTTTAGCTATAGGGCACGTGCCCTCTCCAAAGAGACAGAGACAGAAATCAAGAAATCACCCCCCCAGGGGGGATGGTCATGCTGGAATCCCTTCTCCTCCATTCTCCTCTCAGGATCTTGGGCACACATGCACACGTGCCTGGCATGAGTTTAAGCCACCGGGTCCTGGACTCAAACCGCGGTCAACTACAAGGGAGTCCAGCAACATAGCCATTACATTAACTGCTGGTTCCCTAGCTCACTATTGATCCAGAACACCAGGTGCTCAGGGAGCAGCCCCCAGACCCTGTCTTGACTGCAGCATTCCCTCGTTCCCTAGTGCTGTCTACTTCCCATGTGACACCTTTGGTGGCATCATTTGGGTGCCATGGCCCGAGTGCAGCTGGGAATGTCAACTTCATTCTACAAATTAATACAGAATGAGAGCCTGCTCAGGCTCTTGACGGTCAGGCCACTGTCCTGAATCAGGCCCCAATCAACTGGAGCACCCCAGGAACCATCTCTGGAGGTGTGAATGGTGCCCCTCCCCTCCTCTTGGCAGCTCCTGCTGTGCAGACCGTTGTTCTCAAACCAGCCATTGAGGTCTCCCAGGTCGACCAGGGAGGCTGGACCCCAAATCAGCCTCCTCCAGCTCCACCCCTGGTGGCCCGGATCACTCTCATCATGGCCCCAGTGATCAATAGGTGACAGCTATAAGTGGCTTTTGATGATGGCCTCCCAGCCCATGGCCTCACTGGACAGCTCCTGCAACCCCAGGAGTGTTTACAAAAACTTCCAATGCTGGCAGCACTTCAAGACCCTGGTCAGGAAGTACCTGCCCCAGAGTCCTGATAGCGAGGCTCTGTCCTGCTTGTTCATGTGAAGGAGAGTGGGACTTCTCTTTGCGCTCACCCATAGAAAGAAGGCAGGGATGGAGGAGGAGGTGAAGTCAGTGGGGGAGCCTGCGGGGAGGTTCAGAGGGGGATGACATCTGCTGTTCAGAGCTACATTCTCAGCAATCGTAACCTCCCTGCAGTCACAGTACATGGTCAGGTGACTGAACTAAAACCCTCACCTGTCAAGCTAGCCAATCTCAATCAATAAACACCATGGTAATATGTACAGAAGAAATCAACCCAGAGAATGCTTCTTAAACATGAGTCACAGTTTTAGTTTCTGGGCTCCACAAGCCTATTCCCTCCTTGTATTCCCACTTCACCATGGACCTGTGTGCTGTCAGCCATGGGGTCATCAGGGAGAAGGGGACTGAGGGGTGCAGGACTCTGGAGGGAACTTGACAGTGAAGGATAGGAATAATTACGATCACCTCCCAATGAACCCACTTTAGAATGATCACATTGAGGGTTACCCTTTCAGCACAGGAATTTGTGGGACACGGCATTTAGCACAGAGGTGCAGACATTGGGGACTATGGACATCAGAGGCTGACTGCAGTGATTGGTGCTGACAAGTGATCATGGGAGATGATGCTGGGGTCCAAGGAGCACAGAAGGGAGGAGGCTGAGAGAGGGACAGACGTGGGACAGATGCAATGAGGCCCAGGGCAGGGGAGGTGTGTGGCGCCTGGCTAGCTGGGGATGGGGTGGGACTTCAGAATGTTCTAACCTCAGGCACTTACAGAAGAGGGGGTGAGACTTCAGAATGTTCTAAGCCCAGGCACTTACAGCCCAGTGCTCCAGTCCCTGTCCCGCCAGACGCCCACCATGTCGCTGCAGGAGGGCCTGTCCCGGGCCATGCAGGAATGGCAGCGCACAAGCTCCTTTGACCGCAGGAAATACTATGACATGGCGGCCAAGTGAGTCTGGGGTCCTGGGAAAGGGGCCGTGTGGTGGTTGAGGGTGGGCGACAATGGGGTCTGTGTGAAGGGCCTTGCAGCCCAGCCCATGAGGGTGGTTGTGGACCAGCACAGGCCCCGGGTGGCTCAGCCCCTGTCCCTCCCACATCAAGGCTGTGGTCTTTCTGTTCCAGTGTCTCCAGGGGCCCCAATCACCCGTGGTCTTGGTACAGACAGTGGGCAGGGGCTGCCGGGGCCCGGGCAGGCCAATGGGGGGCC